GGAAAAGGGTAAACTTAGGGGTTCACTCTTGGGGTTAGAAGTACTTAGGATTCATCTTTGGGTAAAAAGATAGAAGAGAGCTTTGAATTGCATGCATAAGTGTGCTTTTATCTATAGCATTTTACCTAAGATAGAGTCATTTCATTGAGTGATCCCTTATGTTTTTAAAACCCTTTGCTTAAATGAGATCATTTTTATCTCATAACCCTTTTAAACCAAATGTCTTCACTTGATTTGCATAAGCATGATCCATGGTTCTGAACTTAATTGAATGTTAAATAGTTGGTTGATTTGAGCATTTGCCTAGGTTGAGATTTGAGATCATTTTGAAACATGATGAGCATGGCTAGGTTCTTTAAAGTAAAGTTGATTATGTTTGCATCCCACAACTAGGCACTTAAGCATTGACACCATCTCTTTACCTTTGCATTTTTGGATCTGAATGCCCACCTTCAAACCTCACTCTCTCATTTGTTCTTATTTGCTTGAGGACAAGCAAAAGGCAAGTGTGGGGGTGTTGATATCTCTTGTATTTACACCATTTAGGCTTGCATTTAGTACATGTTTTGATTTTCTTTTGCATGCTTTCCTTAGTTTTTGTCCCCTTTTCTTCTCCTTTTAGACTTAGGTTGCATTTAGGGTATAATTTGCATTTTTTTCTTGCATTATGGATGTTTTTAAGTGCTTATGGAGCTAAAAAGAGCTTGGAGAAGCTTTAAGGATGATCCAAGAAGCTAGCTGGGCCAAAAGGAGCAAAAGGGACCAAGGCAGACGATCTCTGCAGAGTCTATCGGTCTGCGCACGGAGGCTATCGGTCAAGGAGTGATCGATACAAGACGTATCGATCAAAACTATCGGTCAGGAAGTGACCGATACAAATGCACCGAGTATATTTTGGTCACCTTCCAGGTTGATAGGATTCGTATCAATCAAGCCTAGACCAATACAACTGATCGATATGAACCTAGTCTGAGTCTTCTTTATTTACACTTTTGCTATTACTCTAGGGCTTCCTTCTTTTGCCTATAAATAGGCCATTTTCTGGGGTTTTTGAGAAGTCTTGTCAATTTACTGTTCTTAAGCATTTTCTTTGAGTTTGTAAGACAAATTTTTTGCTTTATTTAATATAAGTTGGTATTTACCTTTAATCTATCTTTAATCTCTCTTTTAATCATGATTAGCATATTTTGCTCTTGTGATTTGGTGTTAAACATGGCTATTAGTGAGTAGTTTGCTTAGAATTTCTAGATGTGGTAGATTAGGGGAATTAAAGGCTTGATTAAGGTTTGTTTAGTGCTTCATTATATGGGTTCCTCTCTATTGATCTGTTCTTAAACTAGATTTGTCTTGATCACACGTATCTATAACTTAGGCTTTCTCTTATGCCCACCAAGTGTTTGATGAAATACTGATCTTGTTTGATAGAGGATTTGCTAGCCATGGCTCAAGATATTGATTGTTTGAGGAGCGTTTTGACATGAATAGAGTTGATTATTAATGCTTGTTTAATGTTTTAGCACTAATGAGAATTAGTTCTTGTTAAGATGTTTAGCAAAGGGCTGTTTACCAAGAGATTGGACTTAGCTTGCTTATTTGTGAACTCTATGTCTATGAACCAGCATTGCTAACTTGTTTGCTTGATCAATGATGCTTGAAACAACCTTAGTTAGTCTTTTAATTCCCTAAAATCAATAACCACATCTAGGAACTTGACTTCTCTTTGTCTGAATTTTGAATTTGCCATACTCTCTTTATTTGCTCTGTTTTGTTTATTTGATCATTGCTGAGCTGTCTCTTTTTGAGTCTTCTTTGGTGCATGATCACTTTAGGTTGTTAGTTCAGTTTCTTACGCAACAAAACCCTCTCTGCTTGCTTGACTTAAGGACTTCTGCTTGCAACTCTTTTGTATTCAACAACTCCCCATTGGATTGATAAAATCAATACTGCAATGACTAGTGTAGGTTGGGGATTGAGATAGGCAAAACACCTACATCAATTTGGTACCATTGCCATTGGGGTTTTCTGTTTGAATCATTAGAGTTTGTAGAATCTTTATGATCAAGTTTCTTTTGTTTTTTGTTACTAATCTCCATTGACTCTCATTGCTGTCTTTCAGGTTTATGAACTTAAGATCCAGAGGTTCAAGAAATCTTGTAGACTTCATAGACAACATCAATCAGTTGGACAGAGGTCAGAGAGCAAGAAGGCAGCAAGAAAGGCAGCAACACTTGCAGAGACTTGGGATGAACAATCAGGAACCTGTTATGGATGACATCAGATTCTAAGGACCTCAAGGAGCTGCTGGCGCTCAGGGTATACAAGGTCAGCAAAGTGTTCAGGGCTTGTAAGGTGAGCAAGGACCAAGGGGTGCTGCACAAGCTTCAAGAGCAGCAAGACCCATAGGTGCTGGTGATGCACTAAATGCCTATAATAACAGAACTGGGATCATTCCACCAGCAGTGCAAAACAAAAACTTTTAAATCAAGTCTGGATTAATTTCAATGGTTCAGGGCAGTAAGTTCCATGGTTTGCCACTAGAAGACCCTCTAGATCACTTGGATAATTTTGACAGACTTTGCTCCCTTACAAAGATAAATGGAGTAAGTGAAGATGACTTCAAGCTGAGGTTGTTTCCTTTCTCTCTTGGAGACAAGGCACACCAGTGGGAGAAGAACCTGCACCAAGGAAGCATCACTAGTTGGGATGAGTGCAAGAGAGCCTTCTTAGCAAAGTTCTTCTCAACTTCAAGAACTTCAAGAATAAGGAATGAGATTGCAGGGTTTGCATAGAGGAACAATGAAAGCTTTGGTGAAGCTTGGGAAAGATTCAAGGGCTACACACTGCAATACCCTTAGGTAAAAGATAGATTTAGGGGTTCACTTTGGGGTTTAGAAGTGTTTAGGATTCATCTTTGGGTAGAAGGGAGCTTTGAATTGCATGCATAAGTGTGCTTTTATCTTTAGCATTTTGCCTAAGATATAATCATTTCATTGAGTGATCCCTTATGTTTGTGCACCCTTTGTTTGAATGAAATCATTTTAATCTCATAACCTTACCCTTTGAACCAAATGTCTTCACTTGATTTTCATAAGCATGATTCATGGTTTTGAGCTTAACTGAATGTTAAATAGTTTATTGATTTGAGAATTTGCCTAAGTTGAAATTTGAGATCATTTTGAAACATGATGAGCATGGCTAAGTGTTTTAAAGTATGGTTAATTATGTTTGCATCCCACAACTAGGCACTTAAGCATTGACTCCATCTCTTTACCTTTGCATTTTTGGATCTGAATGCCCACCTTCAAACCTCACTCTCTCATTTGTTCTTATTTGCTTGAGGACAAGCAAAAGGCAAGTGTGGGGGTGTTGATATCTCTTGTATTTACATCATTTAGGCTTGCACTTAGTGCATATTTTGGTTCTCTTTTGCATGTTTTCCTTATCTTTTGTCCCATTTTCTTCTCCTTTTAGACTTAAGTTGCATTTATGATGTAGTTTCATTTTCTTTGCATCATGGATGTTTTTAGGTGCTTATGAAACTATGAGGAGCATGGAGGAGCTTTGGGAGTGGACCATGAAGCTAGCTGAGCTTGGATGGAGCAAGAGGAACCAAGGCAGACGATTTCTGCAAGCCCTATCGGTCAAGGCACGAAGGCTATCGGTCAAGGAGTGACCGATAGAGAAGCTATCTATCAGTCTATCGGTCAAAGAAGTGACCGATAGAAGTACACTGTATGGATTTCGATCCTATCGGTCACATTCTGACCGATATGATCCCAGTCCAAAGCTGCTTTTCTTTACACTTTTGCCATTACTTTTAGGGCTTCCCTCTTTATGTATAAATACTTATTTTTCTGGGATTTTTGAGAGGTCATGTCATTCTACTGTTCTTGAGTGATTTCTTTGAGTTTGTTAAACAAATTTCTTGCTTTATTTAATATAAGTTTGTTTTTCTTAATCTCTCTTTTAATCATGATTAGTATATTGTTTTTGAGTGATTTCTTTGAGTTTGTAAATAAATTTCTTGCTTTATTTAATATAAGTTTGTATTTGCCTTTAATATTTTCTTAATCTCTCTTTTAATGATGATTAGTATATTTTTCTCTTGTGATTTGATGTTAAACATGACTATTAGTGAGTATTTTACTTAGGGTTCTTAGATGTGGTAGATTAGAGGAATTTAAGGATTGATTAAGGTTTGTTTAGTGCTTAATAACATGGGTTCCTCTCTATTGATATGTTCTTAAGCTAGATTTGTCTTGATCACAGTTACCTAGGATTTAGGCTTTCTCTTATGCCCACCAAGTGTTTGATGAAATGTTGATCTTGTTTAATAGAGGATTTGCTGGCCTTGGCTCAAGAGATTGACTATTTGATGAGCATTTTGACATGAATAGAGTTGATTATTAATGCTTGTTGAATGTTTTACAACCAATGAGAGTTAGTTCTTGTTAAGATGTTTAGCGAAGGGCTGTTTACCAAGAGAATGGACTTAGCTTGCTTGTTTTTGAACTCTATGTCTAGGAACCAACATTGCTAGCTTGTTTGCTTGATCAATAATGCTTGAAACAACCTTAGTTAGTCTTTGAATTCCCCAAAATCAATAACCACATCTAGGAACTTGTCTTCTCTTTGTCTGAATTTCGAATTTGCCATACTCTGTTTAGTTTCTTTGATCATTGCTGAACTGTCTCTTTTTGAGTCTTCTTTGGTGCATGATCACTTTAGGTTGTTAGTTCAGTTTCTTAAGCAACAAAAACCTCTATGCTTGCTTGACTTAAGGACTTCTGCTTGCAACTCTTTTGTATTCAACAACTCCCCATTGGATTGATAAACTCAATACTGCAATGACTAGTGTAGGTTGGGGATTGAGATAGGCAAAACACCTACATCAATAATCACCGAGAGATTGGGTTTATCTTGCTTGATTGTTGATTTGTATGCCTAGGAATTAATATTATTTGCCTTGTTGCATTGTTAATGAGATTGAAAGCATCTTGGTCTTGTGTTTAAATCCCTCTAACTCTATAGCCTCATCTAGGATCTTTGCTTTTAGTTTATTGAATTTCGAATTTTGCTTAATCACTTGTCTTTGTTACATTGATCATTGCTTAATCACTGCTCTTGCTAGTTTTGTTTGGTTGATGATTGGGTTGATAGCCTAAACAATCTTTATATTTCTGCTTGAATTAAAATATCTATTGCATACTTGGTATTTTCACATTAACCTATGGATTGATATGAACTTAATACTTCAATGACTAATGTAAGTTGAATAATTGAAGTAGATAACACCTACATAACATCTACCGGAAGGTTGGAGTCAGGACTGCAAGGGGAGCCTGGCGAACAACCACCCAGGACGAGCGAGCACCCTTGTGGTCCCGCAGGCCTAGAAGAGCCCGAACAATTGGCATTCAGAGGGAGTAGGTATAGCATGCTCGCGTATTGGAGTGCCTGCCAACTACCGAGGAACAGTTAGTTAGGGAGTCGTTGGGCAATTTAGGTGCGAAATTCATCATTTCGATAACCCACTACCAACGTGTTACTCATTGATATGACACAATAAAAATGGACCCAATAGATAAATCAAACTCTAACTCATTACAAATTCCATGATTTAAGAATTTCATTTGAGTTAGCAATTTAACAAATAGATAACTCAAAATTTTACATAAACTACATAATTCCTTGTATTTCAAAATCAAAATTAAAATATTCGGTTTGCTTTTAATTGGTAACTAAAACTAAATTAATGGTAACTCATGTTACCAATTAAAGTTCTAGAAAGATTGATATTTTAACAAACAAGACATTAAAAGGGCGTATACAAAGTAGAATTTAGAATGATTTGTCGAATTCTTTGTTATTGAAACATAAATTTTAAAAATTTATTTAAAATTTAAAATTATTGAACTAATGATTTAAAATTATATTTTCAAATTTATTATTATTGGAAATAATTTAAGAAATAGATTTTAAGAAATTTCAGAATGATTTTTAGATGTTTTAGTACAGTCTTTTATTTAAAATATAAAAATCTAAATCTTATAGTTTTAGGTTGAGTTTGATAAAATTTTAATATTAAATTATAATAATTTCAATAATTCAACCAAATCATTTTAAAACATGTTAAAACTCTATTTTTTCAAATCATTTTAAATGTTATACCTGGCTATCTCAGAACCACCAGTCTTCAAATGCTTGAGAAAAATCAGAACGATGAGACTTACCTTCTATAAATTGGGCAACCTTTCGTAGACACATGGGAAGAACAAAACCCTGAAATAGCGAACAAGAGAAAGAAAGAAACCAAAATCAGAACGATGAGGAAGACGTATTTGATAGAAAATCAAAGAGATGATGACTGACAATTCTAGACTTGATTTCTTATCTTTTTTAAAAAAAAATTTCTGGTACCTTAAGAATAAGATCATCACTACCAAAATCAGAATGATGAAGAAGCAGAGTTTGATAGAGAAATTGCTAATTCGAGATTCGAATTATTATCTTTTCTTAATTTGAATTCTCTCTCTCTCGTAACCCAGAGGAAGATCAAAATCCTCAATACCATAGCGAAGGGAAAAATCAAAATCAGAGTTACGAACAAGAAAGGTTTATAGAAATTGCCAACTCCAGATTCGATTTCTTACATTTTTTCTTAATTTGAATTCTCTCGTAAACCCAGCGGAAGAACAGAACCTTCAATACCATACACCAAGGAAAAAAACAAAATCAGAGTTTCGAAGAAGAAAAGATTGATAAATATTTCTTATTTGCTGATTCTAGAATCAATTTTTTACCTTTTTTCTTAATTTGATTGTTCTCTCATATACCCAGTGGAAGAAAAAACCTTCAATACCAAAAACAAATGAAATAACAAAGACTCAGAATGATAAGGAAGAAAAGTTTGATAGAAATCGTCAACTCTAATTCGATTTCTTACCTTTTCTAATCTGAATGATCTCTCGGCGGAAGAACAAAACCATACAGAACTTTAGAATGATGTGAGAGAGAGACTAAAAAATAAGCGATGAAATTGTGATTAATTTGAAATTCATATATGTAGTTCTGGTTCGGTTATCCGAGCCTGAGGAAGAAAATTCTAACGGTCTTCTTCCGAACCTGATCAAAGATAATCTATAACGGTCGTAGAGTCTTCTTCGACTATATTTGAATTTTAAATTAATCTAAGCTTGATGCGAACCTGATTAAAAAAAAGTATAACGATCGTAAACTCTTCATCGGTTGTGTTTTTTTTTTTTCTGTTAAAACTCAAACGATCTCAACCGTTCAATTTATGCCCTGTTTCAAATGATCTCAACTTTGCTTTGGGACCTTTTCACATGTGAGACTACCAAAACCACCGTATTTTAAACAACAATTGTCTTTTCTATTTTTATACTACAATTTCTAGGAATCGAATATAAGCATATGTGCACACTTTAAAATGATTCATTCTTAAAAAACGGGAGAATATCTTCGTTCCCTCTGTTTGTTTTACATGATATTTTTTTCTGAAATGATTTATATATTTGTTTTTGAACTCTTTGGCTAAACTTAGTCATTGCTGTATTTTGTATGATGATGCATCAAGACTTGTTGTCCAAGATCAATCTTATTAGAGACGCCATTAACTTAACTCCCATTAAATGAGATTTTAGCTTTCATTAAGGCCAAAGACTCCAAGTCCAGTTTCACGGTTGGATGTTCAAAATCTACATTCTACCATCATGAAACATTTTCAAGTAAGCTCAAGAGAAACTACTTGAAACATACAAAAGAGACTCTTCACTACTCAAGCAAATCAAAACTCCATTCTGTTAACTACTTTGAGCAATTTCACGACTCTTCTTCTGCCTCCATAAGTTTCAGTTTCTGCCACAAATACAAATTTAAGATGTTTAGCATTATAGTAGAATGAAGTTTCTTGGGGAATGATCATTGAAAGTAATTAAAGATAAAAAAAAAAAGAAGAAGAAGACTTACTTTACATGATGCAAACATGTTTGCATAAAGCTTGGCGTCTCTCTGGTTGCTCTCAGCTTTAGACTGTTTCAATGTCCTGTGAAGAGACTTCACTTCGCTGGAAACACAATGCATAATAAAGCCAAAGAGAAACGAGGATGCAACAAAAAACATAGTGCACAGTTTCTTCTTTTACTGGTTCTCAGGATCAGCCTCCAAAGCCTTTTTTATATCCATTTCCGCTGAAATCAAATCTCCAGTCCCAATCAAAGATTGTGCACGCCTATATAAAACTTTCACATTTTGGAACTCAATGCGTAACATTTGCGACAACAAACAGTAGAAGTCATTTCCAATGTATCTGGTACAAAAGTACATAGAACATCTACTGTTTGAGTTAAAGCTACTCAAGAGTAATAACTTGCATAGGTGAAACAAAAGAGAAAGCAAGATTCTCTCAAAGCCTTGTCTTCTTCTGTTTTGTTTAACTTGTTTACCTTAGAGCATAGCCTGAAAGCTTCCTGAAAATCGTTTAGTTTTAGACTACAGGCTGCACCATTCAAGAAACAAGATACTCTCAAAGCCTTGACTTGCTTCTCTTCAACACCTTCAAAAGAGCCATTCTCGATACAATCTGCAGCCTGTAAGCAATATGTGGATCATGGATTCGAATGGTATTGTACACATACGTAGTTAATTTCAGTTACAACTTTTTCTGGTGAATCATCATCACCTTTTCATACTTCTTTGCTGCTCGCTGATACTTTTGATTTTTGTATAGAATATTGCCTTCTTCTTTGTTTCTGTTAGCAGTCTCTATTTTCTCTTCATTATTCGTACCAGTGACAGTGGCACCATCATCTGCAACACTTGAGCCTTCGCCATCTCTAATAACTTTCTTGAAGATCTTTATATCACCCGAAACATCAATAACAGGTTTAAAGGACACCAGCTCTAAATCAATCTCTAGCATAGTGTTTGGTGGAATAGCATGGAACTTCCCAATTGGCTTTCTTCCTTCTTCTCTAAACCCATCTGCACATTTTTTAAATCAAATTCAAGGAAATAATTTTCCCAATAACCAAGAGTTAAAAAATTTAGAAGTGACATCACAACATACAGTGAGGCAGAACAACCAATCTGGCCTTTTCTCCAGGACGCATGATTACAATTACCAATGACAATGCAGGACACAGATGACCTGAAAACAATTTCAATACCTAATTAGAATATGGTAACTCTAAAAGGAATGTATAATAAATAATAAATTACCATCTTTGACACAAAACTCAATCCCTTCATCCGGTGTTTTGTCCAGAACACCATCATCAACGTGGTACTTCACTGCAAAATGGAAACAAGTATGTATTCACTATGAAACACATGAAGCTATGAGAAGAAGATTTGTTACACTAAGTAGACAAGAAGATCAAGATACTGATAATACTAACCAAGAACATTATCCAAAACACCAGGCTTCTCATCCTTACTGCCTTTCCCTTCAACTCTCTTCATGATACCTCCATCGTTACAAACATCGACCACAGAAACCCAAGACATCAGTTCAATTTTAACCTGAGTCATGGAACTTTTAGGCCAATCATCAAGCTCATCATCCACAGGGAAAGTGAACAATGCAAGTTCTCCTCTCTATATTGTCATAATGCAGTTTCCCAAGCTTTTGGGAACCATATCTGCACCTATAGAAAAAATAAAATCAAATTTTGACCCAACCAGTCATAAATAAGCAGTGAAACCAAGGATGAAAACGAAGAACAAGCAAAAAAAATCAGACTTTTCATCTACATCAATCGGTAAAGTTAGTGGTCTATTGATAGCTTTTGAGGAATCGAAAATTTCTCCATGAGGAAAAGTACAAACGAAGTGAACTGCACACTAGTTTTATCAGAATCAAACGCACTAGAGATAGTAAATCGTTTGGCAAAGGAAATCAAGGAGAGTAGAAATTACATGATGCCTCGTCGTCGATTTTTGGAGTTTCCCAGCCAGCTCCGAGTTTGAGAAGCTTTTTCTTGACGTCTGAAGCACCGCGAACTCTTTCTTCTCCGATTTGGAGAGGAGGAGCCGATTGAATGACCTCGCCTTCTTTGTCCTCCATTTCGTTTTCGTCTGAAAACTGAGCTTCTTCCTCCTCCGATTCTTCGTCGTCGGAAAATTGCGGGAGCGTGGCTGGAGAGGAAAGAAGAAGTTTCCAGAAGGAAAGTAAAACCAAGAAGGAAAATCCATTATTAATAAATTGTATTTTAATTAATCAAAATTGTAACAAAACTAAAATTATAGAAGATAGGCGATTTTCTTACCGACTCAACATCTCTTACCGATTTTTTTTCCGGTGTTAATTCTACCGTTTTTCTTACGGTTTTTCTTCCGGAACTTCTATCGAATCTTTTTTTTTAGTTTTTCTTCATCCAAAGTCTACCTCAAAGAGTTATAGATAACGTTTGGGAGGCGCTGCAAAATCTTAGTTTTGAGGGTGAAAATTGATTACCGCAACCAATTTCTGATGTCGCGCACCGTATTCGAACAGATAATAATCGATTAAGTTTGACTGCTCTCGCCCTCAATCCGATGCATCAAAAACCGATGGATCTTAAGATTTTAAAGGCTTGGAAAATGGAAGGTAAACTCACAAGCCGAATCAACAACGGTGGAGCTGTTCAATTTTATTTCAAAGCTGAACATCATCTGATGAACGTCTTGGAGCATAGCCCCAAGCACTGTAATTATTGGATGGTAGTTGTTGATCGCTGGACTCATTGTTTTGAACATGATTTTCTTCTTCAAATCAATTTATGGGTTAAAATTCTGCATATTCTTGAGGAGTTTCGATCTGATGCATTCATACATTAGGTAGGCGATATATTGGGGGTTATAGATAAGGTTCGGATTACTGAGACTACTGCAGATGCTGATAGTGAAGGTTTGATCCATGTTCACAAACATGTCAATAATCGTCTTATTTTCATTCGTTATATGGAGTTTGAACCAGGACAGTCCACAATGGTTCGTTTTATTTACAAGAAGTTAAGGAAGTTCTGTTTTTATTATGGTGCTTTAACGCATAAGTGAATCGGTTTGCCATTATGAGGGTTAAGTCTACCATCAACAGCGCTTTGAGGAAGGTGAATCTGATGTTTCTATGCCATTCCAGCAACTTCATGGCTCAGGGACAACTCGTAAAGATATTGGGTCTCGCCAGTGTCGTTCTCTAGTTCCGGATTACTCCATGGAAAATCTTCATGAATCTCCAATCCATCCGCTGGGTACAGTAGTTCCTGATCCAACTCCTGTCATTGTCTCTGCTGCCCCACAGTCTGAACCCCAACGCTATGAGAATGTTGATAGAGATGACACCATGGCTGAAACTGTTGAATCAAATGCTCAACTTAAGGAGCCTATACAACCTCCTGTTTCAGTTGGAGCCGACTTTCAGTTTCTCGCACCTCTGGTTTCTCTTTTCACTGGTTCTCCTCCACAAGAAGACATTGATGCTACTCGGGGCACTAAGCATAAGGCTTTACAACTAGATACGGATGATGAGGCTTCTACCAATCGTCAAAAGAATGACTCTAAGGATAAGGTTCTCACTGTTGATCAAGGGGAGGTAGCAACCCCGAAGCCACCATCGCATCAATAAGACTTCTGCATTGGAACTATTAAGGTTTGAGAAACTCCTTGACAGTTCATCGCCTTCAGGAGATTAGAAGAACAAAGTCTCCTGATGTAATGTTTCTTGTGGAAACTAAGAACGATGTCTCATATGTACAAACAGTTTTTTCTTCCCTTCATTATCCTCATCATTATATTATACCAGCTCAGAGCACTAGTGACGACTTAGCTATTTTTGGGATCATTATGTTCACTTTGATGTTTGACACCCTTCTCTTAGTTTTTCTGATGTATATCTCAGAGAAGGATCATCTATATTCTGTATGAGTTATATCAATAGTTTTCCTATTAAGAGACTAAGGCAATATCTTTGGTGAGGCATGCAGCGACGAGCACCACTATATTATGTTACCCTAAGATTGGTTTTAGGCAAATTTAATGACATACGCTCGAATGCAGAGAAAGCAGGCGGTCCTCTCAGATCATAATCAAGCTTTGAGGTTTTTCGTAATTTGATTGTGGCCAATGGATTGCATGATCTGCATACTCTAGGTGGCTGTTTAATATGGGTTGGATCTAGACATACGCACGTTGTATGAACGAAGATTGATTTTGCTATGGTCAATATGTTATGGACAGACTTGTTTCCATCAGCGTATGCTCAACTACTGCATTGGATGGGTTCTGATCATCGGCCTCTAATGGTTTATATAGATTCGAAGGCCTGGAAAGCTAAGAAGTTCTTCAAATATGATAATCGCTGGACGCATGACCCTCAGATGCAAGCAGTAGTCTCCACAGTCTGGGAGGAAAAGTGTGAACGACTTCCTCCACAACATTTTGGCAAAGCCATTATTCATTGTTGTGATGCTTTGGCTAGGTGGAAACGGGTTAATAACACAAATACCAGCAAACAAATACAAGCATTGCAACAGTCCCTCCATCATGTGTATAATGCTTCTGCCATTGATTTTCATTATATAAGCTATTTGAAACATCAACTAATGATTGCTTACATGTTAGAAGAATAGTACTGGAAATCCAAGAGTGGGGCATACTGGCTTAAAGCAGGGGACCATAACACTAAATATTTTCATGTGCAAACCAAACAAAGGTTTTTTTATAACAAGATAGTTGCATTAGCAGATGATGCAGGTCACGTGTTCACTGATCCAACTGATATTCAGCGTACAGCTCAGGACTACTTCACTCATTTATACGCTACACAATATCCTTCTTCTGATCCGGAGCTCTTAGCAGGTATTCCTCCCATTATCACTCATGATACGAATCGACAACTTATTGCACATGTTACTAGGGAGGAGGTCAAACATGCTGTTTTTAGTATTTCTTCTGAAAAATCTCCTGGTCCTGATGGCATGAATGCTGGTTTTTATAAAAATCATTGGAGCACAATTGAGGAGTGTTTATCACTTTGTTGAAAAAAATTTCAACATGGATTCTTAGATTCTGAGCTTAATCATAATTATATCAGTCTCATTCCTAAGAAAGAATCTCCTACTTCTCTTAAAGACTATCGCCCTATAAGTTTAGCAAATATCGCCTATAAGATTATTTCTAAGGTGCTTGCTAATAGGATCAAACCTTACTTGTCGGTGATTATTTCTGAGAATCAAAGTGCATTCATTCCTGGAAGACTTGTTACGGATAATATCCTCATTGCTTATGAGTTTCTCCATTCTCTACGAACCAAATCTTTAAAAAACCACTATATGGCTCTTAAATTAGATATTACTAAAGCATTTGATAAAGTTGAATAGAGTTTTTTGGATGCAGTTATGGATAGAATGGGATTTCATGAACAATGGCGGAAATGGATTCAGACGTATATCACCTTTGTTTCATATTCAGTGCTTATAAATGGTGATCCTACTCAACGAATTATTCGTCAAGGGGACCCAATCTCTCTGTATCTCTATCTAATATGTACTGAGGCTCTCTCTCTGCTTTCTTGAAGAGCTTAACTCTGTGGAGAGAATTCCTTGGTTATAGAGCTTCTCTCGGAGGCCCTTTAGTTACGCATCTTCTCTTTGCTGACGATTCCTTGCTCTTCTCACACTGTTCGAGTTGCTACAACTTTAAAGCGTGATTTATCTATATGTGGCCAAGCATCAGGACAGTATATCAACTACACAAAGTCGTCTATTCTGTTTAGCAAAGGTACTCCTCAAACCACTATTAATGCTCTTTCAACGTTACTTCATATACCACAAGTTGGTGGTTTTGGTAAATACTTAGGAGTCCCATAATCTATAGGTCGAAGTCGTGCAGACACTTGCGCTTATTTACAGCAACATGTTCACCAAAAACTAGCTACTTGGTATACAAAATTGTTGTCGCCTGCAGGAAAAGAAGTGTTGATTAAGTCGGTTATTACTGCCATCCCCACATACACTATGAGATGTTTCCTGCTTCCTCAAAATCTCATCAATAAGCTGATGGTTGATATATGACGTTTTTGGTGGTCTAATGATCCTGATAAACGAAAGATCTCTTGGGTTTCCTGGAATAATTGTAAAGGCCAAAAACAGGGTAATTAGGGTTTCGAGATTTCTGAGATTTTAATGTTGCCTTATTAGCTAAACAGGGTCGGCGTCTCATGAAACACCCTACATCCATATTATCAAGAGTTTATCAGGCTAAATACTATTCGAAATCAACCTTCCTTCACGCTGCTTCCAAATGTAATGCTAGTTATGCCTGGAAGAGTATTTTTACAGCACAAATGTTGTTAAAAACAGGACTTGTGTGGCATGTAGGCACTGGAGAGAATTTGAATGTTTTGTCTAATCCATGGTTGCCTTTGACACCACCTAGACCGCCTGTGCCTATACATCAGGTACTTCGATTTGGAATGAGGAAAAGCTTCATCATCTCTTTGCGCCACCAGATGTGCAGACTATCCTGAAGATCAGACCCTCCATCACCAATGTAAGCGATTCACTCTCTTGGCTTCACACACGACATAGGCTTTATACGGTTGAATCTGGTTATGCTATTCTGTGAAACCTTAAAAATGAGCAATCTTAATCTACTGTCCATAATAGAGTTCCTTTATCTTTGTTTAAAACTCTTTGGTGATTGAATGTCCCACCAAAACTTAAATCTTTTTGGTGGAAAGTTATTCATAACAGCTTACCTGTAGCTTCTCAGTTTTGCAAATGTGGAATCCACATTGGTGATACATGCTTGCTTTGTGGACAAGAGGAGGAAATGCTTAATCATCTTCTCTTTAGGTGTAACATTTCACACGAGGTATGGCAATTATCTGTGCCCTCTCTTGCTACGCGACTCACTATGCGATCTTCAGAATTAATGCATAATTTAGATACTTTGTTTCATCTTCTGTCGTCTGCGAGAACGGATAGTCCATTATTTCTGTTTATTGGCAGGGAACTATGGTTAGCCAGGAATCATTTATTATTTCAAGGAAAACGCAGGAGTATTGTCTATTATTAACAGAGATTTTCTACATCATCATTTATGGCATTAAGTATAAGATGTTCCTTCACAGACCAGACAGGCGCCTAGTCATGATGCTTCCTCAATTCCTCAGTTTTGTCGTAATGGCTCTTCTCACTGTTGCTTTGTGGCTGCCTCATGGACTGCACCTAATACTGCCGCTGGTATAGCATGGTACCTCTATACTAAAGATGTAAACCTTGTCTTACAAGGTTCTTCCTCTATCAGATCACTACCAACTCAAGTTGAAGATGAAGGTATTGCTCTGAAAATGGCTATTCAAGAGATACCCAAGCTTCGGTATGAGAATGTGGTTTTTCTAAGAGCTTGTTCCCAGTTGTATATCCTGCTTAGTCAAGGCTGTGAAGCTCTAACTGCTGTCCCTCTGCTTCGCTCGATATCTATGGATGTGCAGGATATTGTCCGTTTAGCAACACACCCATATCATACTTTTCTATGTAATTCTCGCTCTATGTTATATGATATAGCTAATTTAGCCAAGTCTGCTTGTAATTATAAACAATCTTATGTAGTCTGTTACTTATGCTAATATATTATCGTTTTTGCTAAAAAAAAAACTAAAATTATCAAATATTAGATTCCAAAAAATTAGATCTCAATAATAAACTGAATAAAGATATAAGCTAAAATTCGTGGAAGACCTGATGGAAAAGCAAGAAACGGCTTTGCACGATCATTATAGCTTTCTAACAAAACTAGATGCGAATCAATATAAATCATGGATTATATATATATAGGTACATAATATCAATAGAATATTTAATAAAAAATAAATATTTAAACATGTAAACTTTAAAGAAAGAATAAGTGTAAAAATCATATAGAAAATAAAACAAAACATCAAGATCTTAATATGAAAATTCTTCTCTAAATCAAATATATGTTTATGTTAAAGTTGGATAATCCAATAGATGTCATTATAAATATTTTACTTAATAAATTTAGATTTTTCTAAATAAAAATATAAAAAATTATAAATTCTATTTTAAATTCTATTATAGAAAAAAAATTATAAGAATTACTATAATTTTAATAATTTAGTGGGTATGAAATTATTAGGCGGCAAGAAGAAAAAGATGATGTAAGATATTAAATTGTAAAAAGTAAAGTGTTGATAGTTGAAATGATTGTAGTATCCTCATATGGATATCTTAACAAGTATATTATTATTATTATTTAATTAAATAATTAAATTTAGAAAAACAATGATATGATCATGGAAGACTCTAGCTCAGATTTAAAGCGTGTAGCCGAGGAGAAACAAGAGAGGACTAAGCTTAAAGATAGAAAGGATCTAGAAGCTCTAAGAGGTCCCATGACCCGGCTAAGATTAAGGCATTTCAAAATGCCTTAGAGATTCTACGTAATCAATTTAAGTATGAATCAAGTTATGAAAAGACTAAACTTATAGTATTGTTTTGTATAAAAGCCAATGACAAAGCTAATGAGTTTGTGGGACATTTTGTGCTCTTTTTCCCTTAGTGAGTTTTGTCCCATTGGATTTTCTCACTAAGGTTTTTAACGAGGCAAGTGTTCCCACAATGTCATTGTCCATTTTGTTTGTCATTTGTCCAAGTCCACTTCTTTCTACCATCTGTGGCTTGGAAGGTCTAGAGTCAGTTTGTACTTAGCCGTTTTCATGTCTTGTTTCTTTTGTTGGTTTGTTTTTGAACTGAGTCTTTGCATGGCTAGTCAAGGGGGTTTGTCCCGAGACTAACTCAATGCTTGTTTTTTTTCGTGTCCCCTCTTCTCTCCTTAAAAACCATGTTTGAGAGAAGAGTTTAATTTATCTATCTTTTGTATAAAATCTCTTACAAAATAGATCATCTCTCACGGTGTGTAATATCCTTGAAAAAACCTGATTGAATCATTGGTGTGTCATATCATTTGCTTCTATCAGTTGTATACAAGAGCCATCCATATCTCTTGTCTACTTCCATCATTCACTCTTTCCCCCTTTTCCCTCAAACCGAATCAAATTCCAATAAATCAATCATATCTTTTCATTACCATCGGATCCAGTTTATCCATGTGTTAGCTTGCAAGGTTAAAGATCATAGAGGGTTCATATTACGTGGTATCAGAGCAATCCTTCCAAAGCTAAGTGTTTTAATCCGATCATTCTCCTTTTTGTCGATCCATATTATTCGTCTCTTGACATTCTTGATCATCATGGCTTTTATCTATTTCCATATTCAATATATTAGGTTGTTAGCTTTTGAATACTCGCATCAGTTCTCCGATTTTTTTCAAATTAAATTGTTCTTATGAAGAGTTTATTCATTTAGATTCTGTTAAGAACAATTTTACTGCAATTATCATACTTGATTTTTCAGGTACTATGGCCGGAGATGAAGAACAAGAGTCAAGTGCAGGAAGAGATAACCGTTTGTTACTTGAGGCTCTCACATCAGAGATGAAAAAGATGTTACAATCAGAAGTGGAGAAGATCAGGCAAGAGTACGAACGACAAAGAGAGCCAATTCAGAGACGTCCGAGAAAAGAAACTGCAAGAGAAGAAGAACAAATGGATCATGCCAGCAGACATCATACGAAGCAGTAGTACAAGAGCAGTGGGTCCTCTAGAAGTGGTCGGAGAAGCTCTAGACAAGCCAGGGAACGAGTACAAGATAACTTGGCAGGGCTTAAGTTGAAAATTCCCCCTTTCCATGGCAAGTGTGATCTGGATGCTTACTTAGAATGAGAAAAGAAGATAGAGCTTGTCTTCAACGTGCAACACTATACTGAGGAGAACCGAGTCAAAGTTCCAGCCACCGAGTTCTATGACTACGCCTTAAGTTGGTGGGATCAATTTGTCACCACCAGGAGACGAAATCAGGAGTATCCAGTTACTACATGGACGGAGATGAGGAATTTGATGAGAAAACGGTTTGTCCTAAGTCATTACCATCGGGAGCTGCATTAAAAGCTTAGGATATGAGCACAAGGCAACCGTACCATGGAGGAATACTTTCAAGAGATGGAAACACTCATGCTTAGAGCAGATATATCCGAAGATAGGAAAGCAACAATGGCTAGATTCCTCGAAGGGCTCAACCGCGAGAGTCATGACCGCCTTGAAACGCAGCACTACATAGACTTAGAGGAAATGCTCCATAAGGCAGTTTTGTTTGAACAACAAGTTAAAAGGAAAAGCTCTCATTGTCCCGCTCCTAGTACCGGTACCACCTACCAGTCAATCCACCCATGAGAAGAGAAGAACCTCTACCCGAGAGAAAATAAGCCGTTCACCACAAAACCCGAAGCTACACCTCTACATGACCTTAAGGGAAAGTCTAAAGAGATTGCTACAAGGACCAGATACGTTAAGTGCTTCAAGTGTCAAGGCCGGAGCCATTATGCCAACGAGTGCATTAATAAAAAGATGATGACTTTGTTAGAAAGTGGCGAGATAGCATTGGAAGAAGAAACTCAAGAGGAGTCCAGTGAAGAAAACAAACTCTTACTAGTTTAGGGAGAGCTACTTGTAGCTAAGAGAACCTTGACGATGCAAAGCAAGCCAGAAGAGCAAGATCAGAGGGAAAATCTATTCCATACTTGTTGTTTAGTTTAAGGAAAAGTTTGCAGCCTGATTTTAGATGGTGGTAGCTGTGCAAATGTAGCTAGCAGTACAATGGTTAAGAAGCTCGGATTACAAGTTAAACCTCACCCAAGTCCTTACAAGCTACATTGGCTAAGCGATAAGGGAGAAATGAAGGTTTCGGATCAAGTTCTAGTTCTATTGGCGATTAGAGATTACAAAAATGAGATTCTCTGTGATATGATACATATGGAAGCAAGCCACATTCTGTTAGGTAGACCTTGACAATCATACTGAAGAGTAACGCATGATGGTCTCTCTAATCGCCACTCTTTTGAGTTCAAAGGCAAGAAGAATGTCTTAGTTCCATTGACCCCGCAAGAAGTTTACAATGATCAGAAACAATCTTTAAGATCAGCTAAAAATTTGAATTTCTTTGCTAAGGCCAGAGAGGTAAAGAAATCTTTCCATACAAAAACTCCAATGCTTTTATTTGTTTTTAAAGAAACACTAACGGCTATGACTGAACTTACACCAGTGTACCCGAGTGAAATGCAAGCTCTTCTACAGGACAATAGAGACGTCTTTTCAGAGGAAACTCAGGTTGGTTTACCTCCTATCAGGGGTATAGAACATGAGATAGACTCCATCCCTAGAGTTTCTCTACCAAACCGTCCTGCTTACCGTACTAATCCCATAGAAACTAAAGAGCTACAGAAACAAGTGGATGAGCTGATGGCTAAGGGTCATATCCGTGAAAGCATGAACCTTTATGCTGTCCAAGTGCTTCTAGTCCCCAAGAAAGATGGTAGATGGAGGATGTGCGTCGACTGCCGTGCAATCAACAATATAACAGTGAAGTATCGCCATCCCATTCCTAGATAAGATGACATGTTAGATGAATTACATGGCTCTAACATCTTTTCTAAGATAGATTTAAAGAGTGCCTATCACCATATTAGAATGAAAGAATGGGATGAGTGGATAACCCCATTAAAAACCAAGCATGGTTTATATGAATGGCTGGTTATGCCATTCTGTTTGTCTAATGCCCCTAGCACTTTTATACGTTTGATGAATCATGTTCTTAAGGCGTATATAGGCGTCTTTGTTGTTGTTTATTTCGATGACATTCTTGTTTACAGCAAAGGCTTAGAAGAGCATATATATCATATTAGTCTAGTTCTCGATTTACTTAGAAAAGAGAAGTTATATGCTATCCTCAAGAAGTGCACTTTCTGTACTTCTAGTCTTGTGTTTCTCGGTTTTGTAGTAAGCTCAGAATGAGTCAAAGTGAACGAGGAGAAAGTAAAGGCCATCCGAGACTGGCCAAGTCCCAAAACCGTAGGAGAAGTGAGGAGTTTCCATGGCTTAGCCGGTTTTTATAGAAGACTTGTGTGGGACTTCAGTACTATAGCAGCTCCACTTACTGAAATCATCAAGAAGGATGTATGCTTTAAGTGGGAAACAGCTCAAGAGGAGGCTTTCCAAAGCCTAAAGGAGAAGCTTACTAATGCCCCTGTTATTATTTTACCTAACTTCTTGAAAACATTTGAAATTGAGTGTGCTGCATCAGGAATAGGTATTGGAGCAGTTTTGATGCAAGAGAAGCAGTCGATTGCTTATTTTAGTGAAAAGCTTAGTGGTGCTACGCTTAACTATCCAATATACGACAAGGAGATGTATGCTTTAGTCAGGGCTTTACAAACATGGCAACACTATCTATAGCCTAAGGAGTTTGTCATTCACACGGATCATGAATCCTTAAAACATCACAAAGATCAGCAAAAACTAAACAAGAGACACGCAAGGTGGGTTGAGTTTATAGAAACCTTTCCTTATGTCATAAAGTATAAGCAAGGTAAAGATACTGTGGTCACATATGCATTATC